GTTGTATATATGTTATTATATATATATATATATATATATATATATATATGAATGAACCTAATTCAATACTGATTACCACTCACAGGCTTCTGAAAATAGATCTGGTAATCAAAGATCGGCATGGCCTTGAGTTTCTCCATTGGATTTGTTTTTGGATCCACAGGAAAAATGGGTGTGTTGAGAGACGCCACGGCCCTGCATGATTGAATGATTAGCATGGGAAGAAAGAGTGTGTATTTCTGCGCACTGTGCATAACAATATGATGACATCCAACACTCATGACACTCTTGAATCCTTTTGTTAAAGATTCTCACTGAAATGCAATACCTCACTCTCTCAGAATGAAACTGTGCCATGTTCCACACCAGAGCACCGCCCCAGTCATGACCCACCAGAGTGACCTGAGGAATGCCCTGCGGAGCAGAAAGACCAAATCATAAACCCATCTATGCATTAATGATCACACTTCAATTTCACAAGGAAATATCATGACATGGGAAATCATAATTCGGTCCAAAATCACAAGAAAACTCCAAAATAATATATAAAATTTTAGGATTATTAAGATTTTTTTTTACATTGTAACATGTACTTTCATCATTATTTTTAAGATCTTATTTTCAATTATTTTCCCCTCCAGATTCAATAAACAAACAAACCAAGGTCCAAAACTACAACTGCCTGAAGTTCACAAGAGAATTTCATGACATGAGAAATCATATTTCAGTCCAAAATCAAAAGAAAACTATGACAAAGAAAACTATATATAGGCTACTATTTTTTTTTTTTTTTTTTTTTTTCTTTTTAAAATTTCATTATTATTATTTAATTTTAGTAATTCATCTTAAACAAAAAATTTAAATTTTACTTCGGCAACTAACTGAAATAATAGTTTTTTTAAAAGTTTTTCATCGAAAATTTCTGCTCAGGTCAGATGATTTTTTCATACAGTCCTTCCTTTGTAATAAGAGACTACAGGTCCTTTCCTTTATAAAAGGTGCTGCTACGTAGTAAGGATGCGAATTACACCTCAAAAAATGAGCAGCTGGTTGAGGAAATCTGTGCTATTACTTTTCTAAGCGATCAGACTTACAATTTTCACCTGGCGGACCATAAAATGGGCTAAAAAAATCCCAGAATTACATATAATAAGACTAGAATATCACAGAAACTAATCAACAACATTCATAACAACACCCCAGAAACCATCAAAAGACAACATATATGTTAAAAATACTTGATGTTCCCAACATTTGTATGTACTTTTAAGATTATTTTCAATTAAGCTCTTAATTTCTCTTATTTCCTTATTAGGCTGAAGGAGATAAACAAATAAACAAACAAACCAAGGTCCACAACAACTAGATTAAGTAAATAAATGCTTTGAATATTCATAATTCACATCATTCTAAAACCAAGTCAAGACAGTCTTGAAGAAACAGTACTGGCCCAGTTTCTGTTTGTCTCAATCCCATACAGATCACTTCCTCTAGCACAATGATTTGGGTTTCTCTCTGCCTTATTTACACGATTAGACCACCAACTGTATTAGGTAATTACTAATAATGAAGAAAGAGGATAATGACCTCTTTCTTTTATAAATCTGATGAAACTGAAGACTCTTCGGAGATATGAAGGATGCAATACTTCTCTATAGGTACTCAAGATTAACATGAGATTGGCAGAAACTGTGTGTGTGTGTGTGTGTGTGTGTGTTATGTCCCCTTTAAATTCTAAATTGTGAATTCTGACAAACATTGCAAGGTGTTTCATTTTGTTCTGTATGGCTAAGAAGTAGAATATATGACCAAAAGCATTTCTTTTATAATAAGTTATTGCTTGCTAACAGCATCTTCTCTTCTGGGAAGACTTTTCAATAAATGTTGAACATAAATATAGTGATTTGTCCCATTCAGACACATATAGTAATGGTCTTTGTGCTTTTTCATGCTAATCCAGTGTTATTTTAGTATTATTTATACTATAAAAGCATATCATATTTTAAATTTGCTTATAAAAAATTATGTGTTTTTGTTATTTTTACTTATTTT